GAGGTTTGGGGAGGTGGAGCGGTGAAATTTGGAGAGGGAGTTTGGGTGGGGAGAAGGGAGATTCGGGGTGGGCGAGCGGAGAGGTTTGAGGAGAAGGACGGTGAGGTCCGGAGAGATGAAATGGGAGGAGGGGGAGAAGTGAGGATTGAGGAGTGGGAGGAGCAGAGGTTTGGGGCGGGGAAGTTTGAGAAGAGGGAGAGGTTAAATTTGGGAAAGGGGATCAGAGATGAGATGTTTGTGGTGAGGAAGACGAGAGCTTTGGGGTGGAGGAAAGGTGAAGTTTGAGGATGGATCGAGATTTGGGGGGAGATGTGGGGGTCGCCTGCCTGTGTCAGAGTTATTTCCTTCGCATAAGGTTTTACTGGGCATAAAGGAGGAAATAAAATCTGTAGGTTTCATATGACAGAAAACAGTTACCTACTGAAATAAGTGAGAATTTCCGGTAAAAACACTGGTCTTGCCTGAAGGAGGCAGGAGCTTTCCCTCCTCCTTTTGAAGGATATTATTGTTCAGAAACGAGGGAGAAGATGGACACTGTTCCTCTGTAAACTGGCTGAGGATCTTTCTGCTGTGTAAAAATTCACGGATTTTACCTTTTTCCTGTGTTCTTACAGATAATGACGCCAAATAAGAGTCCAGACACTTCCCTCATTGACCTGGCTGTGAAGATGAGGAAACAGGCTGAGACCAGGAAGGTGGTGCTGGCCTGGGGATTCCTCAATTTATCCGTAGCAGGCATGATCTACACTGAAATGTGAGTTAATTGTCCCATCTGATTCAAACCAGCAAAGATTCTACCACGTGGAGCTCTAAATATTCCCCAAGATGGAATTTCTGCTAAATTCTCCCTTTTTGTTTTGCTTTTCAGGACTGGGAAACTCCTGAGCACGTATTACAACATCACCTGCTTTCCACTCTGGTACATTGGTGAGTCATTGCAGCATTTAAATCAAATTTCAGGAGTGTTTTTTACTCATTTGTATTGCTGGGAGGTAATTTTTTAAGGTAGGGTTTTTTTTCTGTTTGAGTTCTAAACCAAAACTTTGTTTTGCTTTCTGTGATCTCGCTTGAAACTGCTGGAATTCCATCTTTTCAGTGGCAGATAAGGAGTGATAACAGCTTTTTCTCTGTCTTGAAAGGGCAGGAAGAACTTACTTAATGCATGAAATCTTTTTTAATGTGTGGATTAAGGCTTTAGAGAGCCTTAGAATTATTTTCCTGCTGTGTTGTCCTCTGGGTGTGGGTGATATTTTACAACAATTCAAGCTGGTTTCAGAGGAGACTCCATCAAACAGGATGGAAAGAAGCAAGAATCATGAGATTTCTTTTTTGGAAAATAAAAATCCCATTTTAAAAATTAAATTTTAAAACCTATAAATTAATTTCAACACTGAGGAGAATTTCCTCCAATGGTTCTTGCATAAGAAAGTGAAGAAATCTTTGATATTTCCCCAAACTGGCAGCACTAATAATGACCTGTTTTTAATAGACATAGCCTGGTTCTGCAGATAATGTAATTTTTGCTCAAACCATGACAGAAACTGGTGTGCTTCTTGCAGAATTTGCCCTGGCAGCCCTGTTCAGCCTCAATGCCCTGTTTGATTTCTGGAGGTACTTCACCTACACTGCAGCACCAACCAGCTTGGTCACAAGTCCCAGCCAGCAGATCATGGGCTGGCTGCGCAAGGCAGGTGGGGAATAAACCCTCTTTTTAATCTTTTTCATGGTTTTTTGTTGTTGTTCTTCTGGGTTCTTTATTCTGAATTATCTCCCCTGACAAGAGCTCTAAACTGAGCTGGGTGTTTGGGGTTGTTCTGTGCAGGGTTGTTCTGTTCAGTTGGGCTCTGTGTTGTTTGGTTTATGGCCATTTGAGGTGGAACTAATTACGTTTTAGATAATTGAGACATCAATTAGTGTGGTAAAGATGAGAACAGTGAGCAGGTGGAGGAGCTGATGGAATATTAGAGAACCCCCCCAGCAGGATTTATTCCCAGTTGGGGGTCACAGCTCTCACTTCTATCTGAGTTCTGTAGGGACCAGGTTTTCAGTGTCCCTTTTACCATTAAATCACAATTATTCAGTGTTTAAAGAAGAGCAATTCAAGGCTGTTGCATCCTCACTTGTAACCCTGCTGGTGCTTCCCTTGCAGCTGTCCAAATCACCCCTCCACGTGAGGCAGCAGCCAAGAGGGTGCTGTCCCTGACGCCATCCCCTCCGATCCAGGGCCAGTGTGTGCTGAGCTACAGCCCCTCACGCTCGCCCAGCTCCAGCCCCAAGTTCTCTGGGAGCTGCCTGAGCGGGTACAGCCCCCAGCTGCAGGCTCTGGCAGGGACCAGCCCCTCTCACAGCCCCTCTGGCACTTACTCACCCAGCAGCAGCTACAGCAAGGTAATGAGCAGGGAAAATCCTAAGGGCACGGCTTGAGCCTTCTAAAAGAGGAAAAAAAAAAATTAATTTTGTTTTTGTTTTGTTTTTTTCCCAAGGTTTCCAGCTTCAGCCACTCTCCCAATGGATCTCCCTATTCCATGAGTGTGGGGCCTGTGGACAGTGGTGGGATAAGGTCTCACTACCGATTCTCCCCCATTCTGTACAACAATTCCACCTACAAAGACGACTGTATAACAGATGTCAAATCCCTGGACACCTTCCTGAGGAACGAGGAGGAGAAACAGCACCGAGTTCAGTTAGGTAAATCGAGGAATTTGGTGGGAAAAGCTTGGAAGGAAAGAAGTGTTTGGTTTATCCAAGATTGGCTTTTGTGATGGGAGAAGTACCAGGAAAAAAAGGCCATTTATGGATCACCTGTGAGCCTGGCAAAGGAGCTGCTCCTAGTGAGGAGTTGGGGCTGGAGGTAGAACCCCATTGTTTCTCCTTCTCCAGTTATTCCTGGGAACAGGATCTAAGCATGGGAATGCTGATGGATTATCTCTGTAGCAATTGTTTCCTGTAATGGACTGAGATAAGATCACCTTGATAAGAGGGGGATTTTGTCCAGGTGGTTTCAGATAAAGGGGCTGAATCCAGCAGATTTTTCTCCTGGATTGGGACAATCAAGATAAGGATAAAGGGGATGAACTACACCCAGTAAAGTTTTGTCCTGGATTGGGACAATCAAGATAAGGGTGAATCCAGTCTTTCTGCAGAGTGATTTCAGTGTATTCACTCACACTGACCTGTTGTCCCTGTGCTGTTTGTTCCAGAATCACTTGGCAATTATTAAAGTTAACTTCTTAATGAATTAATCTTTTCAGGAAGCTCAGATTCCAGCTCTCCCTCCAGCAGCCCAACCTTTTGGAACTACAGCCGGTCTATGGCAGACCACGCACAGATCCTGAGGAAGTTCCAGTATCAGCTGGCCTGCAGGTCCCAGGCTCCTTCTGCACACAAGGATGAAGCTGATCTCAGCTCCAAACAGGCTGCAGAAGAGGTAAATTCCACAGGAAAAAAACGGTCAAGAGGGAAAAATGGGATTTTTAAACATACCTTTGTGGAAAAGTTTGGATTTGAGCCAGGCCAGGAATGTGGGGGGAAAAGTCCTCCAGCTTTCAGCCGGCTCCTTTCTTTTGCAAGCAGCAGGAATTGTCACAGACACCAAAAACTCTGTGTTCTGTGAGGTTTTCTTATGGATTTAATAAACCTTTCCATAGGTTTGGGCACGGGTGACAATGAACCGGCAGCTCCTGGATCACATGGATTCCTGGACAGCGAAATTCAGGAATGTAAGTCCCTCTCTGAGGAATTCCAAGTGCAGTGGGAAAATTCCTCCGTGTGCCTGGGATGGGAAGGGTTGCAGTGCCTGAGTGTTGGGGTGGTCTGACACACACAAATCCCACAAATTTATCATCTCCCTGATACCCTGGGACAAACAGGAGAGGAACTGGATCCATCAGTTCGTGCTTGGAGGGCTGTGATTCGTAATCCCCTTTCCTCATAGTCCAGAGAAGCTTTACCTGGTACAGATGGGTTTTCCCAACTCCTGTGCATTGAATTTTCTGCCTTTTCAGAGGCTGTTAAAGGATCACTTTAATTCTGCCTGGCTTGATAATTAAATTAAATCAAATTATTTCCCTCCTTGATTGGCATCAGTGTTTCTGTTCAGCTGCTCTGTGGTCGTGGTGGGGATGATTGTAGGGTTTAAGCTGAGGGGTTTATTAAACATTCCTGTTGCTTCTGAGCTGGAATTTTCCCCTTTTTTCTTCCTAGTGGATCAATGACACCATTCTGGTGCCACTTGTGGAAGAGATGGAATCTGTGAGCACTCAGCTGAGGAGGATGGGCTGTCCAGAACTGCAGATTGGAGGTAGGATCAGCAGCCTGGGAATTCCCTTGGAATGGGTGTTACATAAATTAGATCTGGGAAATATTTTTATTCCATTTCTGCTCTCTTTTGGTTTATATATTCTATAAATATCAATGCTTGGACACTTGGATAAAATTTTTAAATATCTCTTTCTTATTTCCCCAATAAATTTAATTTTACAGCTCAAATTATCATTAATAATAATTATTAATCAGTCAGAAAGCATTTCAAAGACAGATATGCTGTAAATTTTGCTCCCAAAAATCTCACTGTCTCCACTGCTGTGTGCTTTTCCAGGTTCTTCCTTCAAATCACCACAAATCCTGAAGGAACTGGGTTTTTTAAAAATTTAAAAAAAATCAATTTTTTTATAAGTTCTAATGAACTAGAGTTGTGTTTTTCATGTCAGGTTGGGATTCTGTAGCAGCTGCTTCTGCAGTTTCAGATGAACTGAGCAGTAGATTTGATGTGCTGCCCTTTAATTAAATTAAAAAAAACCCCTATTTTTGGGTTCTTCTTAAAGTATTTCCAAAATCTACTATTGCAAAGTGCTTAAAAAAACCCCTTTAATTTTCACTTTGATTTCTCCCACTTGTCTCAGTTTCCCTGTATTTGATGTGAGGGGTTTTGTGTTGCAGAAGCCAGCATCAGCAGCCTCAAACAGGCAGCCCTGGTGAAAGCTCCGCTCATCCCGACCCTCAACGCCCTGGTGCAGTACTTGGATCTCACCCCAAACCAGGAATATTTGGTGGAAAGGATCAGAGGTTTGTGCTCTGGCTGTTTTTCCAAACATTTGTCTCGTTTTTCCAAACATTTCCCATACTGCAGTGAACTTTTTGGTTTTGGATCCCTGGATCCATCCAAGGCCATCCAAGGTTGGATATTGGAGCAGCCTGGGAGAGTGGGAGGTGTCCCTGTCCCCCTGGAGGATCCTTCAGTTTCCCAAAAATCCAAACCATTCCATGATTTCCTCCTGCTTGCTCAGGGTGCAAAGGGATTGAATCACTCTGGGAACAAAAATCCTCCTGTGACTTCACCTCTTTTATTATTTTATTATATTTTATTTTATTATATTTTATTTTCTTTTATTATATTTTATTTTCTTTTATTATATTTTCTTTTCTTGTATTATATTTTCTTTTATTATATTATATTTTCTTTTATTTTCTTATATTTTCTTATGTTTTTCTTATATTTTCTTATATTTTTATTATATTTTCTTATATTTTTTATTATATTTCATTTTATTATATTTTCTTTTCTTTATTATATAATGTTTATGGTATTATATTTATTATATTTTATTTATTATATTTTATTATATTAATCAATTTATCATATATTTTATTATATAGTATATTGTATTATAATATAGTCATATAATATAGTCATTATATATTATAATAGTCATATTATAATATAGTCATTATATATTATAATATAGTTATATATTATATTATGGTCATGATATATCATAATGTATTTATTTAATAAATGTAATAAATTTATTATATTTATTTAATGAATGTATTAAGTTTATTTAATATAGTTATTATTTTTATGAAATATACTTATTAAATAAAATTGTTAATTTTATTATTTTTATTATATTACATATATATTAAAATATTATTATATTTATTATTATCCCCCTTTTAGCAATAACTTCCCCATCAATCTTGGGGATTTCCCCCATTTTCTTGACCCCTTTGTTTAGATTCCCTTTCCACTCCCCAGGAAGTAGAATAACTGTTGTTGCTTCCAGAACTTTCCCAGGGAGGATGCATGAGCTCCTTCCGATGGAACGGAGGCGGGGATTTCAAGGGCAGGAAATGGGACACCGACCTTCCCACCGACTCCTCGGTGAGTTTCCAGGGAAACCTGCAGCTCAGGCCTTAAATCTGCTTGGATTTTGGGATAGGGATTGGAGGGAGCAGCCAGGAAATCTTTGAGAAACACAGGAAAATCAGAGAATGGAGCTTTGCAGCTTTTCTGCTGGATAATTCAAAATATTCCATTGCTGCAAGTGGAAAATCAACCTTGAAATTGGATTTTTCTCTTTGGGAACACGGTTAAATATTTGGAATTGTCCCAGCTGTGGAGCAGCTCTGAGTGTCCTGATAAGCAGGAACAGCTCAAAAGTGCAAATAAAGAAATTTTTATGTTCATTTAAGGCTATTATAAATAAACAAATAGACTATTTCACATTTTTTGGTAATTGTGGATAATACAGCGCTGTGAGCTCCAGATTTTTTTAAGATTTGTGGCATTATTTCCAGCAAATCTTCTCTTTTCCCTGTCAAACAGCTCCTGTTTGGTATAAGTAGCACAGAAAGCACCAGATCACAGACAATTTACTGATGTTACCCACAATAAAATATTGAGAACTCTCCAAAAAGGGCTAAAACAAAAGTTTTGGGCTCATCCCAAAACTTTATTTCACAATTTTGGCATTGCTAAGACTTGTGGCCAGCCCAGACTTTTCCATGAGGACAAGGGAGAAGTTTCCTTGTGGGGTTTGGGGTGGGCAGAGCTGATTTTGAGCTCCTCTGCTCAAATCTGGAACTGATGATGCTGCTCCTGAGACTGGGGTTAAACCAGCATTGTAAGCACAAGGCTGGGATTAACTCTTGGGCTCATGGGGAGGAAGCTGCTGGGTTTTGGGGCCATTCCAGTGAGATTTGGTTGTTTTTACCCAGATCCTGATGCACGTGTTCTGCACTTACCTGGACTCCAGGCTCCCTCCTCACCCCAAGTATCCCGACGGCAAAACCTTCACTTCCCAGCACTTCATCCAGACTCCGGATAAACCAGGTACTGGGCTGGCCTGGAGCTGCTCTTTTCCTCTGGGCATCACGGCAGCACCTCTGAAATCTGTTTGTTTTTTTTTTTAATTAATTTTTAATTCAGACACTTCAAATGAAAACTTATTCTGCATCTACCAGAGCAGCATCAACCCACCCCACTACGAGCTGATCTACGAGTGCCACGTCTACAGCCTGCCCAAGGTCTGGGGCTTTCTTCTCCTCCTGCTCTCAGGAATCATTTCCAGGAATGATTTGGGGGCTTTTTAAATCCCAGACACATTTTTTGTTGTCCATTTACACAGAGGCTGGTCCAGCTTGGTCTGTGCCCAGTGCTCTGCTGCTGATTGCTACCTGGGGTAGTAATTTAATTTATCTATTTAATTGATCTACTAAATTTATATTTTCTATATATATTTATATAAATTTATATAAATTATATATTTATATATTACAACATATATAAGTTATATATAATATAACTTTTTATAAATTATATATTATATATTTATATAGATTATGTATTTATATAGATTATATATATAGATTATGTATTTATATAGATTATATATATAGATTATATATTTATATAGATTATATATGTTATATAAATTTATATAAATTATATCTATTTACATATTATATATTTATATAAGTTATATATTATAAAAATTTTATTAAATGATACATTTATATAGATTATATATTTATATAAATTATATATTTAAATATTATATATAATATAAATTTTTATAAAATATATTTATATATTATTTATAAATTATATATTTATATTATATATAATATATATTTATATTATATATTATGTATAATATATATTTATACAAATTATATATTTATATATAATATATTTATATTTTTTATTATTTATTAAATTTATCTATTTAATTTAATTTATCTATTAAATCTAATTAAATCTATTTAGGAGACAGGAATTCCTAAGCAGGAGCTTCCTCTCAGTAATTTTTTGCCAATTTCTTGTAAAACCCCAAATCAAAATCCCTGGTGGGTGATGTCACCTCTTCAGGCCAGTGCAAATTTCCAAAGTGGGAAAATTCTGAGGTTGTTTTTAATTTTTTTAATTTCTAAATCCTTGTCCAGGACAGGAACAACATGTTCCACAAATTCTGAGATTGTTTTTAATTGTTTTAATTTCTAAATCCTTGTTTCTTTCTGTGGCTCCAGGGCAGGAACAACATGTTCCACACCTTGCTGATGTTCCTGTACATCATAAAAACCAAGGAATCTGGGATGTTGGGGTAGGTATCCCATGGGAACAAGATGAGAGCGGTGTCACACCCAAACCACCGCAGTTGGGGTGATAATTAACACTAATTAAAATCAAATTAACAGTGGCTTTTTAATAAAAATGGCTGATTCCGATCCCTTTGGGTTTTGCAGGCGTGTAAATCTGGGTTTATCGGGAGTCAACATCCTGTGGATCTTTGGGGAGTAACGGGACACAGCTCCAGAGGTGAACTTGGACTTAAACAGGATAAATTTAAGCTCAGCTTTGCGGACAGAGGGAGGAAGTGCCTGTAATTAATTCCCATCTGGATTTTGTCAAGGAATTCCACAGAATATTTCACCGTGGAAATGCTGCTGGGAATGAGCTCCAGGCAGGAATTCTCTTTCCTGCTCCTCACCTCAACCTGTTTAAACTGAGCTTTACTGAGCTCAGACTAAACCAAACCAAGGCTGTGCCCAGCTGAGAGCACTCAGAAGGATAAAACAACTTGGACAACTTCAGCAGCCAAGAAATTCCAAATCTGGAAGCTCAGACTCAGTTTTGTTTCATTTTATTCTGCGTGATAAAAACCAATTAATTTTATCCCTGATTATTGGTGTGATTGTGATTTCCAACCCCTGCAGCTGAAAAGGAAGGACAAAAATCACCTTTGGCTTGCTGAGTTCAGCAAATAAGAATTTTGCTTATCTTTTCAGTTTTTATTTTCATTTTTTTTGTACAAAATTTTGTGAGCTCTGAACTCCCCAGGCACCTTCACTGCCACCAGCTCTCATCACCTGCCTTTGCTGTTGAATTTTTAATTTTCCTTCATTTTTTTTGACTAATCACCACCGAATTTGGGAGCTTTATACACCTCATTGGGAAACCAGGCTCTACACATCCACAGGATTTTGGGAATGTACATTTTTTTTTAGGTAAAAGCACTTGGATTTGCTTCAAAGAAAAGATGGATCAATATTTATCAAATTTCTCTAAGGGGCACGGGGAGAATTTGTTGTAAATTCTGATAAATGAGTATTTTGGAAATGCACTGTATTTTTTTTTTTTAATGGAATCATTGTACTGTATTTTTTACTGACGGGAGGGAAAGAGGAAAATTTGGAACTTTGCTGTTTTTTTGGTGTGAATTGAGTGGTTTTGGTGACTCCATCTCTTCCCTGGGGGACCTGGGGTTTTTTTCCAACTGGTAACAAAATGGCTCATTTGGTTCTTATATTAAATGAGGGTTTTTTTTTTTATCAAAACACTTTTTGGGGTTTTTCTTGCATTTAGCATCACCACATCCATCCATGAAACAGAGGAATGTTCAATAACCAGATTTAGCTTGGTTTTACCCCAAAATTCCCCCCTCAAGGACAGCACAGCCCCCTGAGCTCTGTCAGTCTCATGTTCTAAAAACTTGGAAGTGCAGAAATCTCTTCTTTCACCAAAAATTTGGGATCCTTAGGAAAAACCCATCCCATAGGGCACCTTTGGATTTCTGCAGCCCCAGGATCCTGAACGGTTTTGGGGTTCCCAGAACCCCGTATCCCTCTGTGCTCCTGGGATCCCACACAGCCCCCAGAGGGAGCCTTGTGCACCCTGATGGATCCCACACCCCAACAGATCCCACCCTGATAGATCACATATCCCAGTAGATCACACCCCAGTACATCCCATACCCTGATAGATCCCACACCCCAATAGATCCCACATCCCAGTCCTTGTGCACTCCAATAGATCCCACCCCGAGAGATCCCACACCCCAGTACCTCACACATCCCAGTGCCTGTGCACCCCAATAGATCACACACCCCAACAGATCCCATCCCAATAGATCCCACATTGCAGTACATCCCACACCCCAACAGATCCCACATCCCAGTCCTTGTGCACTCCAATAGATCCCACACCCCAATAGATCCCACCCTGATAGATCACATATCCCAGTAGATCACACCCCAGTACGTCCCATACCCTGATAGATCCCACATCCCAATAGATCCACATCCCAATAGATCCCACCCTGATAGATCCCACATCCCAATAGATCCCCCCCAATAGATCACACATCCCAGTCCTTGTGCATCCCAATAGATCCCACACCCCAGTGCCCATGCACCCAAATAGATCCCACACCCCAATACATTGCACACCCCGATAGATCACACCCCAACAGATCACACATCCCAACAGATCCCACCCTGACAGATCCCACACCCCAATACCTCACACATCCCAGTGCCTGTGCACCCCAATAGATCCCACACCCCTATAGATCCCACCCTGATAGATCACAAACCCCAACAGATCACACATCCCAGTGCCTGTGCACCCTAACAGATCACACCCCAATAGATCCCACACCCCAATAGATCCCACACCCGAGTACTTCCCACATCCCAACAGGTCCCACATCCCAACAGATTCCACACCCCAGTGCCTGTGCACCTCAACAGATCACACGCTCCAATAGACCACACCCCAATAGATCCTACCCCCCAATAGGCCACACCCCAATACATCCCACACCCCAATAGATCACACCCCAATACATTGCACACCCCAATACACCCCACACCCCAATAGATCCCACACCCCAACAGGTTCCACATCCCAACAGATCCCACACCCCAGTGCCCATGCACCCCAATAGATCACAAACCCCAACAGATCACCCCAATAGATCACACATCCCAGTGCCCGTGCACCCCAATAGATCACAAACCCCAACAGGTCCCACACCCCAGTGCCTGCGATAGTAAAAGATTTTAAAATCCTAGAAAACTGGGGGAGTTAGAAAGAAAGTCAGGCTCGGCAAGCCCTGGGAAAGTGTTAAAAGTAGGGAAAGGTTGGGCCTTGTGAAACTGCACCTGTGTAATCAGTAGATGATAAATGATACAATTGTTAGATGTAATTAGATATAATTATCCTTTAAAGAATCATGAGAAACTATGTTAGGGGTTTGGGGGGATCACGAGAAATCCATGCTTGGGTAAAATCAATGCATACAATGCATACAATGTAAGCTTAATAATTAATATGTGAGTTATGTAATGATAGAGTATAAAACGAGTTCAGCTCGGTTCAAGTGGGGTCAGATTTGGGTCTGTGTACCCCTGACACCCAGAGCTCTTAATAAAGAACCTTCATAAAATCATTCTGTGATTGTGTGTTCCTGAACGCTAACACCTGGGCACCCCAATAGATCCCACACCCCAATAGATCCCACACCCCAACAGATCCCACACCCCAATAGATCCCACATCCCAACACACCCACACCCCAATAGATCCCACACCCCAGTACCTCACACCTCTCAGTCCCTGTGCACCCCAATAGATCACACATATCCCAGTACATCTCACACCCCAATATATCCCACACCCCAATAGATCCCACACCCCACACCCCAACAGATCCCACACCCCAATAGATCCCACACCCCAGTACACCTCACACCCCAATAGATCACACCCCAATAGATCCCACACCCCAATACATCTCACACCCCAATACATCTCACACCCCAATAGATCACACCCCAATAGATCCCACATATCCCAGTACATCTCACACCCCAACAGATCACACACCCCAATACATCACACACCCCAACAGATCCCACACCCCAGTCCATCTCGCACCCCAATAGATCTCACAACCCAGAAGATCACACCCCAATAGATCCCACACACCAATACATCACACACCCCAAAAGATCACACTGCAATAGACCCCACACCCCAATAGATCCCACACCCCAGTACACCTCACCCCCATTACATCCTACACCCCAATAGATCACACCCCAGTGCCCATGCACCCCAGTAGATCACACCCCAATAGATCCCACACCCCAATACCTCACACATCCCAGTCCCTGTGCACCCCAATAGATCCCACACCCCAATACCTCACACATCCCAGTCTCTGCACCCCGATACCTGGCACACTCTGCTCCCTGCACATCCCTATACATCACAAACCCCACTCTCTCTGCACCCCAATATATCCCACACCCCAGTCAGTCCCTGTGCACCCCACAACCTCACACTGTGCACCCCACTCCCAGACCCCTGTGTACCCCAGCCCTGGTGCCCCCCCTGACACCCCGTGCACCCCAACACTCCACACCCCCTGCTCCCCGTGTGCCCCGACACATCGCACCCCCCTGTTCCTGCAGCCCCAGCTCTGCACCCCAATTCCCGGGCACCCCGATTCACCACACACACCCCATATCCCTGTGCCCCCTGGCACCCCAAGATCTGCACCCTCTCACCTGGGTATCCCCATACGCCGCCAACCATGCTCTCTCTGCACCCCAAACCA